ACTCTATGCACTTTCTTCGATTAAATCCATGCATTAAAAATGGTGGCTTATGGAAATTTATCTTACTTAACACCTAACATTGGAAATAACTTTCAAATCATCCATACACAAAGTTTAGGTAAATTTCATTCAAGAATAAATTCCTTTACTAAAGTGTACATGTTTTAAGACTCTCAAGGCAACATATAACCCAAAAAAGTATTAAGCATTACAGTAACTCAAATATTAGGATTTCTTAGTCAGCAAGTCGCAAGTCTCTACACTTGTCTTCCATTAAAAAAAAAAAAAAGGCTGAAGAGTGAGAAATGTTTTTGGGTGTATTCTCCATTCCCTGCAAACCAAGCAGCATTCCAATCACAATGTTACGAATGTAATTATCCATCTTTTATAAGAAAGTAAGGAATGTTTAAAAAGGAAGAGAAATATTTTTAAAATTGTAGTTTTAGGAATCTCTAGGTATTATTAAGATTAAATAACTTCTTTCCAGATAAAGATTATGAAATAAATACCTTCCACTCCCACTTGACCATAATATAATGACAATATATAAGGAATGCATCTTATCAAGTGGGTGTAATAAATTCTAAATTGGGTGCATTTTCTGAATAATCAAAATTACTCCTGAAAAATCACTTATGTAGTAGGTCTTGGGTCTTTGGAAGCTCAAAAGTCCATGTCTTAGGCTTTTTTGCGTTTAGATTATGGACACCCTGAACTGAGTCATGGAGGTCACATGCTAATGCTGGCGGTGGGTGGGGGAGGAAAGGACAATAAAAAATATAAATGAGATTTCCTGCCCCCACCTCCACACAGTACAATTTCAGTATGCTTAAATGATCAGACTCGAATGTACTCAGCTGATTCTTAGCTCTTAAACAATACAGTTTGGAGTGTACAGTAGCTAAAGATTGCAGTGTTTGCTTCAATTTTAATAACTACTCTTCAGGAAAAAAATATACAATATGATCTGTCAGGTGTAAGTACAGTAGTGGAAAACGCAGTGGTTGGCAATTTTTATAAAATTTAAATCTCAAGAATTGCAATAGCCTTAACTTTATACCCAAAGGAGTACAATTTGAAAATACTGCATGAATTAACTACATGCATTTTACTACAGGTTAGTATATGTGATACGTTGCTTCAGCACTTATTTATCATCCATTATGTATTAAAAGTATTGTTAAGAGTCAGGATTACATTCTACAAGCATTTATAAGACTTCTTCTGAGCTGAAAAATGAAGAGTTGAAAACAAGCAAACAACAAAAACAAACAAAAAAACCCGTTTAATCTAGTTGGAGCCACAATATCCACACATGAAAAGGACTAAAATTCATAAAACGCACAAAAACCTGGAAGTTAATTTAGTGTAAGGGAAGGGTCTGTTGTTTTTCATTATTGCACATTTCTCACTGAAGGGGGCCAACAAATTCTACCACCTTAGGAGATGAGTTTTAAACTAAGTATAGTGAGAAAGTAAGTACTTTTTCCCTTTAACTCTCTCTCCCTCTTTTTGCTGTGCTGAATTGACTGGGAACTGACCAACTGGGAAAGTGAAAACTGAGATGAGTTAACGATGAGCTCAAAAAGGTGGCTTAGGCACTTACCCAGAAATTTATTTAATGAGAATGGATCGCAGGTTTCCACAGGTCGTTCCACTGCTACTAAGAAGATAGCCGTGAACCTTGGGTCCCTTTTTTCTGTAGTCAACTGTCACCCTCACCTACACGCGGAGTACGTATTTGGTACTCAACAAACCTTAATTGAATGAAAACCTACCTCACTCATCCAACCCCGGAGCTATGGCCCCACAAACTACCTCCAAAAAAGCCTTACTACCAAACCCAAAGGGCTGAGAAAGTAGAGAGGAAAGCTCTGGGGATATCTGTGAAGACTGGGAACAATCAAGGGCCGATGGGGCCTACACCGCGGCTACTCGGCTCCGACTTCCAAAAAGAGATACCAGACCGTCCACAGATCCATAGCTTCCCACCCAGGGGTGCTAAGAGATCTGGGGGCATCCTCCCTCCTTCTCCCCAAAAGTTAGTACCGGTGAAGCTGCGGCACAGAGAGTAGCTCGGGGCTCTCATTCCGGAGGCCGCGGTCCGGGGCCGACCTGCCGCGCCTGCTGGCTGAGGGTTCGGCGCTCCCAGGCTGCAGTGACAGCACAAGTCGCAGACAGATATCTCACGCCTCGAGAGGCTCCTGGCACGCAGGCTCCGGGCGTTTCGTTTCCAGGACTGCGCGAGTTGTCGCACTCACGTTGACTGGCGCTCCTCGGGGCTCCCCTTAAGGGTCAAGCAATCACTCCTGCCTTAAGCCCAGGAGCCGGTATTGGCCCGGCGCCGCCATCGTTAATGTTTGTTTTCATCCGCTCGGACGAAGGCGGCGGGGTGGTGGCGGCGGGCAGGCGGAAGAGGCGTATGGGAAATCCCGCTGTCTAACCTCAGCCGCACTTTCGCTACACTATGGACGGCCTATGCGGTCCTTTGAATCCTCGGAATCTCCACGAAAGTGGATTTCCTTATCATACAAGTCTTCTTCCCCAATTTTTCCAGGCGCCTCAGGAGAAAATAAAGGCGGAAAGAGCTAGGTCTTTGAAAGAGCGAGACCGTTTGGGCCCTGTGTGGAATGTGCGGTGGCGAACCGCAGGACCCAGCGGCAGCGACAGTGAGGACGCGGCGTGGGGCGGGCGCTGACGCGCTGGGGGCGGCGCCACTGTTGCGCGCCGCGGCGGCTCGTGTGCGGTCGCCGGTTCCGGAGGAGTCTCCGGCGGGGCTGGCCGGTGGGTGTGGAGTGCGGCCGGTAAGCCGCCTGCCGTGGAGAGGTGGGTGACCGGCCTTGGCTGACTCCTAGTGGCTGGCGCTATGAGACTTCAATATCCGTTTTTAAGCGCCCTTTAAAAGTGGCGGAGTCGTCTGCCAGACTTGGCTATGTCACCCTCCTCTTTGGCTTTTTCCTTCCGACCTGTCTGGTCTTCCCTACTTCTTAGCCCTAAACTTCACGATTTGGATTTCTTGGGGTGAGGGGAAAGACTGTCGTTGTAGCACACAATGTACGTCCATCAGGCTGGGTCTGGACTCCCTCCTACCGCTTCCTTGTTTGACTGGTTTGAGCACCCGCACTTATGTCCTGTACTTAAGTGAAGCCAGAAGGCTTTGGAAAATTAAACCTACCGTGACTAATCTTTACTCAGGGTAGTAAAGATTAGTGACATATGTCAGCTGCCTTGTCACATGTATAGTTAGGACAAGACCTCTTTTACGTTGTGAATGATTATGCCCATAACTTCTATTAATCTTTTGCTGTTCTCAGTTAAAATCCCAGACATTAAGTGAGCCACCGAGATTGAACTCCCATTATCCTTCAAACCAGAGCAAGCCTGTCATGCAGCCATGAATTAGTGGAGAAAAACCCATAGTGACAGGTGCAGCACCTTATGCCTGTACAAAATGGAAATGTGCAGAAAAGCTGTTGTAGCCTTTGAGTAACTGAAGTCTTTGGTAGGTTTCTAATGTTTTTTCTTTTAACCTTTACAGAAAGAAGATTGTAAATGCCAGAGCCATTTAACTGATGGTTAGCTGTTGAATTCTGACACTTCCTTAAATACCTTCTTTCACCAACGTCTTCATAGGGAAGAGTTCAGAAAAAGTAGAGAGAAGGAGAGA